AGTGAGAGTTGTTGTGAGTACCAGTGCATGGCATGAGGGATATTTGACCTTGCTTGCTGATTAACTCACAACATCATGTTGTCACAATGCCTGCAGCTTTGGCTTACATCAAAAATTGCCTATAAATCAGTACATTTTATGGTCAAGTTGTCCCTGGAACTGCCTGTATGTATATTTATCTCATTTCTTTTTATTCTCCCTTCTCTAGTGTTGTTGGACTAAGCTTTGACTTTCTAGCATTAAACCTTACTGGCTTTATAGCATACAGTGTGTTTAATGTTGGACTCTTCTGGATTCCCTTGATTAAAGTAAGCATGATTATATCTCTCATTACTCAACAGGGGGGTGGGGAGCTGCAGAAGGGAGTTAAGGCATTTGGCTGATTTTGGTTTCTCTTACATTTAGGAGGAATTCTTAGTCAGTTATCCCAGTGGGGTGAACCCTGTGGCTATCAATGATGTTTTCTTCAGTCTACACGCGGTAGCTCTAACTCTCCTCACCATCATTCAGTGCTGCATCTACGAGGTGAGTCCCAAGGCTCTGGCTGAGCTCCCTCTGCCGGGCACCGCACCACTCACCATCTGCTCCTTTGGGGCTCTGAAGTCCTCTTCAAGGCACTTTCGTCGGCCTTTCAAGAAGTCAGGCTTCACAGTCCAGCTGCCTTTATCTTTCCTGAGCTGGTAGCAGCTCCAGTAAGCTTAGCTAAATCAGTCTCATAGACGTTCTGAGCTTCTAAGTAAACTCCTTAGAGACTCAAAATAACTGAGGCAAAGAGCCAAGTTTGTAAAGTTCCCAAACAGGACACAGATGACAGCTCTAAGCAGTACAAGTGCTGCTATGTGCTTTGCTGTTTCCTCACTACTTGGAACATTCTTCAAGCTAGGATAGGTCCTCGAGCATCCCCTGCAATTCAAACTTTCAGCTTCTTTTCTCCTAAAACAGCTGCAAAGGCCCTTTTATAATTCCCACCTCTTTTCAGGTGAGACTGATTGTTATAGTCAGGTGGTTCTTTATTCAGTTCCCATTGTAAAAGCCTCTAATCCAAACAGACAATTTTCTCTAGATAACTGTTTCTCTCTTGAGGTGCTTCCTTTGGTGGTGCTAAACCTAGAACTGTAACAGCCCATTTGTCACCATTGCTAGGTGCAATAGTCTTTTCTAGTGAAGAATTAGAAGGCAACCATGAATCTTTTATCATGATGGCTGTTGAATATTGCTCATCAGCTCTTGCAAGCCTACAGCTGGTTACTGTAGCACTCTTAATCTTAAAATTCCCTTGTGGTATGAGCCTAAACTGGTACAACAACAGGTTTGGACTGTGACCTTGCATAGTCCTGAGCATATTCTGTATCTTACAGCGTGTCAGGGGAGGTATGACCTAGGTTAATCTAAATGTAACTGCATTTCTCTTTCAGAGAGCAGGTCAGAAAGTATCCAAAGTTGTTGTTGGACTACTGGCACTTGCATGGATCTTCACGTTTACAACACTGTTTCTTGCTGCAGCTGAGGAAATGACATGGCTCCAGTTCTTATTCTGCTTCTCTTACATTAAATTAGCAGTCACACTGATAAAATATTTTCCACAGGTAAATCTGAACTTTTCTACTTTTATGCTATATTTCTGTCACCTGAAGCCTGTAGCATCTGCTCTTTAAAGTCTGATTAGACTAAACCAGCAATGATGATTTATTAAGTCTTTCAGTGACAAAAACCAGTATGGTTATACAGAAGGCTTCTTAAATATTAATCTCAGAAATGTTTGTACATGACGTGCTAACTGACTTCTTGTTACACTCCCAGGC